AACCCATTATTTAGAAGGGGTGTCCACAAACGTTTTCCAGCAAGTATCTTTTTACCTGAAATTGCCTCATTTGAAATCCCTGAGGCATATTTGGCCTGAAACCAAAAGATTCAAATCTATAAATCTTTCCGCTTCTGTCTGATATCATCTCACCTCAGTTCTGCTCACCTTGTATGGCTTGAGGAAATTCTTATGGTCCCTTGGGAGTCACTGTGGTAGGACGGATCCACAAATCTTTACAATAGCCCCCCCGCAGGGTGACCACACAGGGCCCGTGTCTTATTCAGCTTAACATGACACAGATGCCTAGACAAGAGAGACCTTACAGTGTTATAGCTGCAGGACGACCAATTGTTAAAAAGTGGAAACATTACCACTGAAATTTTAGTTCTCTACAATAGGTTCCTAATGTCCTGAAATAAACTTAATATGCCCTAAAAAGAATGAAAAAAAAAGACGGTGTTTCAAAGTTTAAACACTGCAGGTTAAAAAAAAATCCTTTTCAAGAGTTTTTTTGTTATATAATCATGGCAATTACAACCATTTCTAATAAACACAATTCAGTTCCTAAATAATGCTCACTTCCAGTGAAGCCTTAATTCTATACAAACAAAGGCATTATAAGGAATTCTGCTTCCAAATTCCTAATAAAAGTTTGGCGTGGCTCGTTTTCTATTTCAGCGGGACAATCATGTCCCTTTTCTTTTATGTTCCACTGAGGGAAGTCATACAGGTTTGGAACGACGTGAGGGTGAGTAAATGATGACAGAATTTAAGGGTGAACTATGAATTGAATGTAATGCTTTTTAATTGCAATTAAATGAAAATGTATTATACGGAAAATGTATAGTTTAAATTTATAGTACGGTAAATGCAATTAGTAGGACTTAAGTAGGCTAGATCTTTATTTGTAATTTCATAATTACCTCTATTATCTTCTGAACAATAGCCGAAATGCATCATTTTCCTGTTATCGCTGTAAAGCTGCTTTAAAAAACAATCAGTGCTGTATAAAGCATATATAAATTAAGGTGACTTGACTTGAAATATGAAAATGTACTACTGAATTTATTGACAATGTATGGTAAACCAAAAATGTCCTTTCTATTGAAACTATTTCGTTTAAATATATTTGTAATTTTACATTTGTTTTGATGAACTTAAAATGTAGTACATTTAAATTATATTTACTTTAAATGTAATTTTAAAAAAACACTCAAGTCCCTGTAAAGGCAATTCTAAAAAAATTCTAAACACATTATAAATGTTAGAATCAAGTACTTTACACATGCTTTAAAATGTTTGGCAACACATCCAAATAAGTGTACTACTTAATAGTCATGAAAGTGTACTCTCTTATAAGTTACACTGAGTTGGCCTTTAATTTCATCAGTATTATATTATCTGTACAGTTTTTTTATTATATACTTTTAAGATTTGAAGTACACAAGTTCACAATCAATATAATTAAGCACACTTTTTTTCACAAGGTACATGAAACTCATTGACGCTTTTGTGTTTAAATGGGATCAAATCCCTGTATCCGTGTTCCATGTTAGTGTAAATTCTTCACAGAAGCAACTCACCATTAATACCAGTGGCTTTGAAATGATGTGTGTTAAATGCTTAACAAACTCACATATGGGTGTGGTGTCCACAAACTTTTGGCTTTATGGGGAGTCAGGCGACTGAGGTTGTCACATTTAGATGTTTCTAGGGTTGTTTCTTTGTAAGTTTGTTTGCTATATTCAAAAACACTATGGTTGGTTAGTCATCATATACACACTCCTGTGTAAATATGCATAGGCTAATCTATTTTTCAATAATGTATTATTAATTTATTATATTAAGTTAGTTAATGTTGTTATACAGAATTACCATTCTATAGTATAGTATAGCATTTTTTAAGGGGTCATGAAGTGAGAAATCAAATTTTCCTTGATCTTTTGACATAGAAGAGGTCATTGTCCTATAAAAATATCCTGTAAGTCTCAGAACTCAAAACTATCTTGTTAGTCCATAAACAGCTAAAACCAAGCTCAGAAAACGACTCGTTTCAGATTTTGTCATATTATTACATCATAGTGCAACGAAAGGCCAATCAGCGTCTTCTTCTACATCGTTGCCGCTTTAGCCCCGCCCACCGATTCACGCATGCCATGTAGTAGTAAATACATTGGCTAAATTTCTCCAGCAACAAAACGATAGTTAAGTTGCCTCTAAGGAATACAAGACGTTTTGAAGTGCCAAGTTGTGGGCCATCAATGTGATCCTAAAATTAAGAAAGAATGGATTAACTTTATTTTTAACGAAGTTCCAGTCAGATTGTGTCTGAGTATCAGTGTTTTTACCATGTGTCACTATTGCTTTGTCTGATACAGATCGTTATATATGCGTATTTATACTGTAGCACCGTAATCAAACTGAATAGTTGTGATTTACTGTCATTTCCTTTGCTTCGGCATTTTTATTTAATGTGTTGTGTTATCGGATATGGAAGAGAACATGTGGAGAACGTCTCCGTTTACTGACTTTGCGTACAGCAAATAGCTGATGCTATAACACCATTCTTTTAGAAATAATGAAGCCTGGGGCAGAAATACTGATGCTTGCGGGGCAATGGCGTTAAGCGGATCAGGCTTCAATATTTCTAGGAGAAATTACACAGTTACTGTGTCAGCTAGCTGTATCGCAACGTCGAGAGACCATCTCGAAAGGAAAAGCTGCTTCTTCTTTCTTTTTTCTATCTAGGCCATTTGCTATAATCCTGAATAAAAGCTTCAGTGAGTGACATCTTCTGTGTTGTCATCAGTAAAAATACATTACAACACGTTTTATTTTAAAACAGGGCACTGCAAATGACAATGCATAGGCTTCACTTTATTGAAAAGGATGAACTATGAATAGCCTGTGACAAATGGTACATTCATTTATAATTCCTTTTACGAAACACCGCAAGTCATCCTTTGTCAGTTAATTGTCAGTTAATAATTGTGGTAACTCCAAATACTTAAACTTTATTTGCCACGACAAAGACTTATAAAGCATGCATAAATGTTTCACATTGTTGGCAAATGTTTTTCAACTATGTAACCAGATATTTTTCAACATCAGAAGTTTCCTCAAGTATAATGGTGGCGGGGATATTGAAACATATTTTAATAAGTCAAGTCAAGTCATCTTCATTTATATAGCGCTTTTAACAATGGAGATTGTTTCAAAGCAGCTTTACAGAGATAAACATACAATCTACGGTAACAGAGATTGTTTTGGCTTTATAGCGATTTTTGAATAATGTTATTTCCAGCTAAAGTTGGTTTTGATTGATTCACTTCCAGCAAAATTAGCATTTGTTATTACATTAGGGGCCACTAAGACGACGGCGTTCTCTCTAAACAGACTTTAAACGCGAACCTGTGACCGGATGGCGTTCACATGCGCATTAAAAATTGATTCTATAGTTAAATTCGTTTGAATATGTGTGCGCAGGTTTGTAATTTCCCTACCAACCATGCCTAAACAAACTACTTGTCTTGCATACATTAGATAAAGAATTTTGTTTTATTTTATCACTTCGGGGTACGCGAACCGGATTTTCAACAACGCTTTATCTGTAGAGTGGGAAAGGGATCCTCCATAGGGAGAGGATAGTTGACACTTCAGCACTGCGTTGTCATCGGGTCCAGGCGAATCTCCTTCGTCAGATCTGGATAAGGCCTGGATCCGGCAGGCTGCGGGAAAAACCTCGGGATAAACAAAGACACTAAAGTTAGCGTAGATGCCATTCTTCTTATGATGTAACAAGTACATCTGGATTTAAGGGAAGTGTTCCCAGTTCCGGCTGACCTAATCTATGCAGCCTAACATTGAATTGTCGAAGTCTATAATGTAGGTCAAAGAGATGTGTTTTTAGTCTAGCTTTGAACTGACAGAGTGTGTCTGCTTCCAGGACAATGGTAGGAAGACTGTTCCAAAGTTTTGGTGCTAAGTAGGAAAAGGATCTCCCGCCAGCAGTCGATTTTGATATTCTAGGTATTATCAACTGGCCGGAGTTTTGAGATCGCAATAGACGTGAAGGACTATAATGCTTTAAAAGCTCACTCAAGTACTGCGGAGCTAAACCATTTAGTGCTTTGTAAGTAATCAACAATATTTTAAAATTTATACGATGTTTAATAGGCAGCCAATGCAGTGTTGACAGAACCGGGCTATATGGTCATACTTCCTGGTTCTGGTAAGAACTCGAGCTGCTGCGTTTTGAACTAGCTGTAGTCTGTTTATTAAGCGTGCCGGGCAACCACCCAATAGAGCATTACAATAATCTAGTCTTGATGTCATGAATGCCTGAACTAATTGTTTTGCATTTGTTAATGAGAGCATATGGCGTAATTTAGATATGTTTTTAAGATGGAAAAAATGCAGTTTTACAGATACTAGACACGTGACTTTCAAATGAAAGATTGGTATCAAAGAGCACACCCAGGTTCCTAACTGACGACGAAGACTTGACAGAGCAGCCATCAGCCATCAATAAGCAAAACGTTTACCCAATCATAGCAGTTGGCGTTTACGTCCACGTACGTCTTAAATGCGACACGCCCATTAAAACGCAGTGCTCGAAAGAGAGGGTCAAAAACAGTAAAGAAAATAGATTATTTCTTCAAAACTAGGATTTTTTTAATGTAAAAATCTTGATAGCATTATAAGTGGACCTCAGAGAACATTATAAAAAATGCAGTTCATGACCCCTTTAAATCTTTGCTTCGTTCCTCCATTTTAAAGGCATAATTTGGATAAGCAAATTTATACGTGGCGCACAACACATAGCTCACTGTGTTGAGCGTATTCACAGTCAATAGTCTGAAATAAATATTAGGAAAACTAGCGTTACAAACAAAAACATGATCAAAAACAGGAATCCTTAGTATCAAGCACTCAGTCCTTTCAGTCGGCCAGTGGTGGGCGGGGCTGACGTTGCCTTGGGAACCAGAGAGGTGGAGCAGGTTATAAGTTGTAAGTCCAGGCGGCTGTTAGTAATTCCTCCTCGAAGTCTTTGGATCATATTGCGACTTGCTCTGCTTTGCTTCACCACCAGACCCTCCAAACCACCTTCAGCTTCAAAGAATACACTTCAACGATGTGCGGTAAGTTCAGCTTGTTACTGTACAGGAAAAGGAATGATGCGTATGATTCGAATATCGTATCATACTGTTAGTTTTCAGGTTGCTATTGTCTCTATTAAACTATTAGACCCAGTGTGTGAACGTGACGAGTCGAATGCCAGCGTCATCATATAAATGTAAATAGTTGGTTGGTCTGGTGACTCTCTAGTCATCATTCACTGGAGTTGTGACAGTTGAAGTGACAGATCCGGTTTGCAGTGCGACTGCGGTCGTGACTCAATGCTCAAAACCTACTGAACGACCTACCTAGGTAGCATTTCTGGACATCAAACGCACCTACTATAGCCAAATATGTGGTTGCCTGGTATTTCGGTTTGTGAGTGATATAGCAGCTATTCATATGACGCAGAAGAATCCTGTCAACGTCGTAGCAGCTCAAACTGCGTTTTATGACACATAAACTCGACGTGGCTGATCCCAAATGTGTTGAATGAACTTTATCACTTTGTCTACTATTATTAAAAATAACAAGTAAGTTATATGCCTATATAAAAAAAAAAAAAAAAAAAACTACTTGCAGTTAATATAAAATTAATTAAATAAAGGCAAGTTAGGCAATAAAATAGAGTACACTTACCTTTTTTCATGACTGTTTCTTAAAGTAGACTGGTGCACTTTGTAACAATGTAAAATTAAGTTATCTATCTATTTGCCAACAAGCATATTTTAGTAAATTGGTTTCTCTGAATCCTTCACTCTGTTAATGTCATATTTATCATCATCTTAATGTGAATTGATATGAACTTTTTTCATTCGCCACTAGTTTTTTTGCTCCCTCTCTAATCCTTGCTATCTTGTATCTGGCAGGAATTTTCGCCTACCTGAATTACAGAGTGCCACGGACGAGGGGGGATATCATTCAGACCCTCATAAAGGGACTTCTAAGACTGGAGTACAGGGGTTATGACTCTGCAGGTAAGACTGCCACTCCCACCTCTGTGAAGGCAATGTCAGTGTGTGTTACGCAGGTAACAGATATGGCACAAGAACTGAACAGTAGCCTTGTTTCTTGTATATTGGCAGCGCAGAGGGCCTGGAGTGTCAGTTCTTTCAGCTGAAGCAGTCAGTTGATATTTGTGTGAAGGGGATTATTGTGCAGTTAATTTTTTTTTTTTTTTTTTTTTTTTGCATTCTCAGGCCCTTCTTTCTCATCTTATGCGCTCATTTTGTTTTTATCAAGACTTTAAAATAGAGACAAAGAGAGATTGTGACCATAAATGATGTTGTGTAGCCTATCATTTATCTGGTTTCTTGTATATATTTGTCTGGTCAGGTGTTGCAGTAGATGGCCCAGGAAAAGATCACACCGCTAATATCAGCCTCTATAAGAAGACAGGGAAAGTGAAAGCTCTTGATGAAGAAATCTACAGTATGTTGAACCACTTTATTGTCAACCTTATCTTTTATCTTTAAAGTGCTTCTATAATGATTCATTTTCAATATAAAATTATCTTTTGTATCATCAGAGAACAACTCCATCGATCTTGAGGCAGAACTGGACACACACTTTGGCATTGCACACACTCGCTGGGCCACGCATGGGGAGCCCAGTGCGCTCAACAGCCACCCTCATCGATCCGACAAAAACAATGGTAAGACGTCGAGCGAGATGAGAGACAACGCAAATTAACTGACCTCGTGATGGTCATCTGGTTTATATCTGGTCATTAGTAAATCAGCTGTGGTTGCCGTCAGTTTATGTGCTCTTTATCCAGGAAAGACAGGACTTGGCAGCCGAAACAGGCTTTAAAGCCATTAGGTTTTGTTTGTTAATGAAAGGCTAGTGAAAGCTGTAATACTGTCAATAATGCTTCAGATGTGAAAGTTCACCTCAGAAAATAAACGCCTAATAAGGGGGTAGAAACAGACAGCAGGAGGGTCCTCTCGCCACACAGTTTGCTTTGCTACTGATTCTGGATCTGCTTTCTCCTGTAATTCATACAGGTATGTTTAGTGAGGTTCAAAAGTTTTATATATTTTTTTCTTTTATATTTTACCTGATGAGCATATTATTCAATTTGATTTGAGAATGATCCAATGGGCATCTTAGGTTCGATAGGCACAAGAGCATCTGTACAAAGCAGTGCAGATGATCATTGTCAGAAAGTTACTTACATTCAATTTGTGACATAGAAGTAGTGTATTCCAAAATATTTTTATGTTATATTATTAATATGTCAAGTCATATACACATAGGATGGCTTGAGGGTGAGTAAATAATGGGATAATTTAATAATAACTTCTAAAAGTTAAGATAACCGTCAAGTTCAACCTGTCTTAAATCCCCAAAGGTAAGATGTTCAATTAATTTATTGAATTTCAATACTAAGCACTACTATATAACACTAGTTACATATAATACAAATTACTACCAGGAATGTGGAAAGGTACTCTGAAGTGACACAGATCGAGGCAGCACGCACAGATTAAGGAAGCATTCACTCTAGAGAGCGCAAGTAATCTTTAAAAAAAGCTTTTTTATCTTGACATGGCGCATTAAAAACACAATTCTGAGTGATTAACTCCCGGCATGCCGGTCGCGACGAAAATAGTCTGCACGCTTATTGTGATAACTACGGTAATCTACAGGCAGTGGAAAAAGATTGGCTTTGTTTGAGGTGTTTTCCATTCAATGAGTTAACAGAAATATCTGCCTTTCAATCAAGTAACAAGGAAGCCTTGCATTTTCTTCTTAAGAAAAACATTCTTAGTCTTAATAACATTCTTAGAATAATTGATCTTTTTCTTAATTTTCTTAACTACTTCCTTAAGAATATTTTCATGAATCCGGCACCTGTACATATTTATTAATATTTGTCAAAGTCGTCAAATCTATCTCTCTCTCAGATCAAAACTATTTTATTTTATACCTTTTACACGCTGGCCATTTTCTCAACCAACTTCATTAGGTGCATCATGGGATGCTTTTCCAATATTATTGAATGAGTTCACATGTACGCTAAACACGTTGGATGCCTTTTCTTTACTCTTTGGTCCAATTCATCAATTTAAATAAACTATAAACTGGTAAACGATTACACTGTTGTGTAGCATTAAAGTAGAAAAATTAGGGTGTATCTGAACTTTTGACTAGTATTGTGCCTTCAATGAGGACAAATTGTAATGAACAATAGTACCTACCTACTACAGTATATAAAATTACTACACCACACGTAGATCATCAACAGTTTGTCAAACAGCCATTCTTCAAGTATATTTCACATTGAAATAGAAGGCATGTACGCTTACATTCATGAATGACTTGACTTGATAAATGACTGCCATTGTTGTGTATCAGCTATTGTATGTTGGATCTGACAGAAGGCATGTTTTGTAGGTGAGGATGTCATTAAGCGAAACGTGGCCCTACATTAGTACGTTTACAAAAATACATAACATGCTTTATCTCAGATGCCTTTCTAATTTGGCCATTTATGTTGATTTAAGTGGAGGGCCTTCCAGCAAGAGTTTTGCTCAAATGACACTATTTTACAATTAAACACACATGAACCAGCTAATCAAGGTTTTCATGTTGGAAGGTTGCACTCTAGGAACAGGATTGGACACCTGTATAATTAGTTTCTTCATGGATTTTAACAAAAGTAATTAAAATAATTGTGCAGTGTATTTATTCATCCTTCTCTTTACGTTTCTCTCCAGAGTTTGTTGTCATCCACAACGGCATCATCACAAATTACAAGGAGCTGAAAAAGTACCTGGTGAGCAGTATTTTTAAATACCTCTTTAGTCTTTACTGGCCATCCATTCAGAAAAAAAAAAATGCAGGGCGGGGATCATTTTGAATGTAAAAAGGAGGCTCTACATACCAGACAAGATCCAGAATAGAACCAGTTTGCTGAAGCAATGCCAAAAGATAGTAACCCACACAGCCTATTGACATCAAAGGAAAGTCGTTTCAGAGAAAAAGGAAGCAAATACATTTTAATGAATAATTCTGAACAATTCTTTTTCCTGTTGAAATAACATGCATAGAAGAAACGTTTTAAATTAAGACCAGGAAAATGTTTTGATTTCATAAAGATTTTGATTGTCAATAGTGTTCCGCTCACACAGAAGTCACTCTCAAACCAAGCAGATTTCCTTTGGTCAACGCAGTGAATCCGTGTGACCAACTTGAACCTGTTGCAAAATCTGTGTGGGAAAATTGTTCGACCTCAAGCGAAATTCCCCCCAATCGCGCAGCTTCCTATCGGAGTGACTGGATTTCGCAAATGAAAATTTGCATAACTGCGATAAATGTGACTGCACCTGAAGTGCGATTGATTGGTCGAGATATAAAGAGAAAATGTCGCAAGCCTGGACTTCTTATCATAACTTAATAATCATTTTTAGGCGTGTACCTTAAGTCAAGATACTTATTAGGACATAGTGTAGAAAATATGTAATTGCTCATGACATATTACAAATGGTGTCTTTATCATTTTAGTGGTACACATCACATCACGTCATTTATTGTCTAGTAGTTAGTTGCACGGCATACCACAAAACAACATTCAAAAGCAATGAGGAAGCGTTCAAAAGCAACGAGGAAGCGTTCAAAACCAATATAAGTTTAGTATTTCTTTCTCTCTCTCTCTCTCTCTGTCTTTCACTTTCGTTTATCTTTGATTCCTTCTTTCTGCCCCTATTCCACAAAAGAAAAACATGTTTTGTTTTGCCGCTGCTTGTGTCTGTAACCATGGCTTTTCCATCCCAACCCATTGATAGGTTTCCAAAGGCTATGAGTTTGAGTCGGACACAGACACAGAGGTCATCCCTAAGTTGATCAAGTATCTCTATGACAACCGCGAGAATGATTATGTGTCCTTCTCCACCCTAGTGGAGCGCGTCATCCAGCAGCTGGTAAGCATCATGAGTGTGTACGTGTTTGTGTGTGTTAGGGGTGAGGGGGTGGTCTAACTCATGCCTCTGGGAACCCCTTGCTCGGATTGTGAAAGTGAAAAGCCAGTTCTTGCTCATTTTCAGCCCTCTTAAAAACAAGGAAAAGAAGTTCAGAAGTTCTGCTCTGTTTGAGTGGTAGTTACATGATTTTTAACCACCATAATATGTGTAGTCAAATTCGCACTGATAAATCAAGTAAGGCATGAATAAGAACTGGCTAACTGTTTTTTTTTATTTGTGTGGGTTTTTTTTGTAAGCATCTTCATCTTCAACAAATTGATCACTCAGTCAAAGTTTGGTCTTCTTCACTGTCAGTTATATAACCAATGGTAACATTTATCAGCACATAATCGAACAACTCTTCCTCGTCTCTAGGTGACTGATATTACCTAGATTTTCAAATGTGGACACCTGGACCTTGTTTTATGAGTCATTGTCAGTACCTTTGGACGACTTTCATAACCATAATTTCTCTGCTGGGAAGTTCAGCTCTATCCAAACATTGTTCCGTGACGTTGTATGATATTTTTGACAGGAATCTAGTCTTTATCATTGGTTTATAAAACAACCCACTTTTCCTATCAGCATGACATTCCCCGTTTATACCATCTCTATAGTACCCTGCCTGTTTTATGGCATCTTCTGTAAATTGCTTACACTAAATTTTGATTGCTCTCTATCTAAACAGCTTTGGCAGCCATCTTAGCGATGGAAGGCTGAGAGATAAAATAATGCTAACATTGAGGTGTTGTTTAAATAAGGAATAATTGAGGACAGGCTGTTGAATTATTAGAAAATGTATGCACACCCGAGGTGGTAATGCCTTGGGTGTGCATTATTTTTCAATAATTCAACAGGCCAGGGTCAATTATTCAGCTTATACTACGGTTACCACACCTCAAAACATTGTTCAGATTTGTCAGGTTTTTGTCATTAAAACGCTCTTGTGTGTAGGACTAATTTCTAATCCCAATCCTCTGTTGCTAATTCCAAAACGTCATTTGAGAACTAGTAACCGAGGCTTTTGAGCCATTTATGGCAGACTAGTGCAGTTATTAGAGAGAGCAAGAGAGATTTAGCGTATGTGAATTACCTGAGTCTGGTGCGAAAAATATTACTGAAATAATTTGGCGAGTTGATATGGAACTGTAATGCGGTTAAGACCTGCCTGTAACTACTTTAGCAGTGTGTTTCCCTGAAAAAAAATGCCCACCTTAAAACGTTCATCAACCAATCAGATTCAAGCATTAAACTGCCACGTAGTATAAATATAATTATCATTATTGTAATTAAAAAATTATGAGATTTAAATTATTGTTTAATATATATACACTGCCTATATTTTTACTGCCTTTATTCTGATTTTAATTTTAAAAATATATTTTATATATATTATAAAATATATATTACGGATGTCAGGAAAAATGTCACAATGTAAAAAGTAAAAAATCCTATGGTATGAAAAAGTATTTTGTAAAATATTTCACAATATTACTATTTTTACTTTATTTTTGATGAAATAAATGTAGTGAGAATTTTTGTTTTTGAAAGAAGTTGAGAGACTCCTTTCAAAAACATAAAAAAAACTGACTTCAAACTGTTGAATGGTTGAGTAGATATTCTGTGTGTGTAGAGGATGGATGGATGGATGGATGGATGGATGGATGGATGGATGGATGGATGGATGTGTCTTGTGGGAACAAACTGTATAGAGCAATTTAGTAAAGGCTGTATGTGTTGAAGCACATAGTTGTAAAATGTCTACAAAGTGAGTTGTGTATCTGTGTTATATATGTGTGTACTGGAGTGTGTGTGCTTTCCCTTGAGTCAGAAGGGGCTCATTGAGGAAGTAGGGGCAAAAATAAGCTCCCTCGGCACACAGAGAGGGCCCCTATTCCCCTTAGTTCAACCCTCACTGAGGGGCTCTGTTCCTCCCAGCTCCCCGATGCCCCTCCACCTCACCGGGCCTCCGCTTCAGGCCTGATCCTCAGCTGGGCTACAGAGGTGGGCTGGCGAAGAAACGCGAGACCCTACATTTGCCTGTTCAACAGAATGACGATGTTTCCATTTAGATCTGTATCATAGCTATTCCTCTGCCTCGCCAATGAACATTTGTCTCATTCACTGTTTTTTTTCTCTATCTTCCCTCAGGAAGGGGCATTTGCTCTGGTTTTCAAAAGCATTCATTTCCCAGGAGAGGCTGTTGCCACCAGGTCAGCAAAAGCTATGGTTTCTCTGAACTGTAACACACTCAGGTTTCCTCATTCCTTTCTTGCTCTTTCCATCATCTGAGATGAACTCCTTCCCATTATTTTCCTTCGTGCCAGTGAACAGGAGCCAGAAGGTTACAATTCGCTGTCGCCAGAAAAGATTTACGATGTTCACTTGCGCATTTAAAGACAAGGAACTAGGGTCCTTACAAAGCTGTGCCTGTCCAGGAATCAGGGATATAACAAAGGTGTTTATTAAGGGTTATTTCACCATGCTTGGTTGGTACTCTGACCCTGTATATATAATTGGGAGTCGACTAAGGCCAAGACCAAAGTTAATTATTCCCATCTGGCCATCACTGATTGTGACGAATGTGTTGTTGGTTTTGGTCAATTCTGTCCTGCTGTGAAGGGAACATTTTAAGACAGGCCATGTTGCAAGACCCATCAGTGTGGGTTTCTGCATAGACACTAAAATTATGTTGTTGGTTTTGCACCATCTACAAGTAAGAGACTTTTTGGAAAGGTTATTCAAGGAACCTTTTAGGGGGATGTTGCTTGGAATATTTGTGAGTGGTGTTTCTTCAAACTCTTTGATGCCAAGGACCCCATTGACTTTTATTGTGTGAACTAAAAAACAACAACACATTTTTAACTTTGATAGCCCTAAAAAAGCATTTGTAAAGTTCTGGAAGTTTTTTTTTTTTTTTCATTAGTTTTTCCCATAGGTATTTTAAATAGACTTTGTTAAAGTTTTTTAACCCATCCAACAAGTTAAGCAGCTAAAGGGTGAATCAAAACACTACAAACTTTGATTTGAACGTCTATATCTATATAGATTTTATACGTCTTTAAACGTCTATATTGAGGGAAAGAACTACAATCCCATGAAGCAAATGTGAACCGCATAATCGAATTAAAAACGATGGCGAAATATAAAGCTATTCATTTACAAATGTTGAAATGTATAAAACCAATATATTTTAAGTTTATTGCAAATATGCATATGCATACAAACATTTCAGTATTTTTAGAGCGTAGAGAGACCTACTCGATAATGTCATTGGCAGTGTTTCATGGGAGTGGGCGGAGCTAAAGAGCAAATTTTGAGTGTGTTCCTTTTTTACTCTGATTAGTGTAATTTTCTGTACAGCATCATGGGTAATGTAGTTTTTCACAAGGAATTCTACTGTTAAACAAGCAAGTTACAAAAAATAAGATGAAATAATGCAGGCTGACAGCAAATTTTAATTTGTAGTGGTAACTTTCGCAAACACCACTCACATTCAGTGTATTATTATTATTGGTAACAAAAAAAAATAATTTTCATTCATTTAAATAAAGCTGAAATAAAATGAAATATAAATATTAGATGAAACCTAAATGAAAATGATAGAAATGTTACTTTGGTAACTAACTGAAGTAAAATAATCGTAAGTACTAAAATTACTAAAACTGAAATGAAAATTCAATTAAAGCTAAATGGAAATATTAACTCTTTCCCCACCATTGATGGAATTTTCCAGCTTTTTGTGTTTTCATCGTTATATGGTAGGGTGCGCTTTTGATGTGTGATCAAAACACATGCAAAGATGAAGCAGAAACAAACGATGTAAGCAGAAGCATATGTAAAATAATGCGATCATCAAAATTAAACAGCATAAAAATCAAAACTACCTAATGTTACTGAATGAAATGTCGACCCAGAGCGAGCTATAGGACTGTGAAGCTTTGGGGATGTTGATGGACGTGATCTACTCCATCTATGTTTTGATCATCGTTCTGAATCCGATCTGGATGTAGTCTTTGGAAAAAAAACCCGTGATTTTTCTCAACTTTTTGCTCAAAATATCTTGCTTTTTTATGAAACTTACCGACATTCAAGTGTTGATAAAATAGAACGCATTAAGCTGGAATAAAACTTTTTTGTTTGTTTAAATCAGAGGCTCTGTTCTTTCTTTTGATATATTGCATGTTCAGATATTCATACTACAAAATATTCTGGGGGTCATGACATTTTTGTGAAAATGATCAAAAACGCTGGCAGGGAAAGAGTAAAAAAAAACTGACAAAATGATTTTTTAACTCAAATTAAATTGAATACTGAAAATAATAGCTAATTTTAATAAATACTTTACAGTGTATAAATAATAAAACTACAAATATGTAATTAGTCTTAAATTCTAAATGCCAAGTTTATTGCTCTGTCCATCCCAAAGAATCCATTCCAACGGATTAACATTAGCACATCACTTCCAAATTCTCATACTTCCTGTCTCACCTTCATTTGATTATCATTTGATTACACGTGTCACCAAAGCTAAGTAATCTCAAAAGTGCGCTGCTGAGTTTCAGCATTTTGTTGTTCATGGTTCATTCCGGAAACTTCCATCCGGTGTGAAGTTAGAATCCAAAATAAACTTCATGGGATAGTGAACATTTGGCTTGCTATACACACTGAAATGCATCTGCCCAACCAGTTCAAACAAAGCAAGCACTGAGAAACTGCTCCAGCGTGGACCCTTTTGGCACGTCAGCATAAGAGACTGTGGGCTGCGCCAAGCAAGATAGGTGGTGCATGTAAAGGACAGGTCTGAAATATTTCCTCAAACAGTGGTGAGGGAGGTGGACCTAAACAAGGATATGATGAAATAGGGAGAGAGTGAACACAAGGATCTTGTTTACAGCAGGGCTACGCTAACACCGTCCATTGACTGTACATTGAAACTAGGGCAAAGTCCTGCAGGTGTGCTGTTGTGCCATAGAAACGAAAGAATCTTTTTTTAATGTGAGGGGAAAAGGAGATTAAATGTCTTTGCCCTTTCTTACACACACAAAGTATGCTTTCCATAAGCAGTCGATAGCAAATTTATCCCTCTGTCTCATCTTATTTCAAACAGGAGGGGCAGCCCGCTGCTTATTGGCGTGCGCAGTCAGTATGAGCTTTCTACCAAGGAGATCCCCGTCCAGTACAACTGTGGTAAGTCCAGCCCACATAATCCTTTGTTCTCGTCTGCTCAAACCAGTTCTATTCATTAAAATACATTTGTGAACACCAAGACACCACACCCATACTTCTTTTATGTGCTTGTTTAACGTTTCATTCCAAAATGATTTGCATCAATAGTGAGTTGGTCCTCCCTAATATATTCGCACTCTTCTAAGACGGTTTTGTACTGTATGTTGGAACATGCACTACTATTCAAATGTTTGGGGACTGTAAGTTGTTTTTGTTTTTTTAAAGGAAGTAATACTTACATTCAGCTAAAGTGGATAAAATCGATTTAAAATTGACAGTAAAAACATTCATACTGTTACAAAATATTTCTATATCAAATAAATGCTGTTTGTTTCAACTTTTTATTCATCAAATACTGTAGGTTTCCACAAAAACATTTGGCAGCACAACAGTTTTCAACATTGATAATAATAACAATAATAAGAAGAAATGTTTCTTGAGCGACAAATCAGCGTATTAGAATGATTTCTGAGGGATCGTGTGACTGTAGATTTGAAAATCCTGCTTCCCCCTATTATTGTTGAATCACGGAAGCTACACCAGTTACTTTTGGCAAAAGATTTCTATTTATTATGTATCATGTGTCAGACAGAGAGAAACACAGGCATATAAGAATAAGGCTACATGAGAGGAGGTCTTCATTCCAGAATTCTCTGTTCCCCATTTCTCTATCTTCTCATCCCATCATCTCTATGTTTCTCCTTCCTCTCACCCGATCATGCCTTTATGTTTCTCTGAGGTGGTACAGTAAGATTGAGCTTATACATCACAGAGAGACTTACAACTTCCTTGTAAGGTAGAAAAACATATCGCTTATGTTTAAAGATGAAATGTATACCTAATGCACATGGTCCAATCCGCTATCCACATTAAGAAACTATTTCTTCAGTGTATACATTAGTGGTATACAAATGGTACATTTGCATCAGTTGAAACATTCCTTTAACATGCAAAGAGCAAACCAACTTACACATTTGAAGTATAATCATCATTGGAACATCTTTGCTAAGTGTACATAAGCAAAATATAACTCTACCAACTCTCTGCTCAGCACACATGTACAAACATAGTCTGACTTCACAAAATGCATTATGAAATTATTATGAAAATGAATAAAGAAAAATAAAACTAAAAAATAACATTTACCAGTAAAGTTTTAAGTCTTCAGTGGCAATGAGTAATGATGCTGAAAATTCAGCTTTGACATCACAGGAATAAATAACATTTTAAATACTATAAAATAGAAAACAGATATTTTAAATTGCAATGATATTTCTGTAATGTGTGTAGTTCTATGCATAGACAGTAAAAGAAATGGACACAGCGACCCCATAGATTTCAACGGAGAAAGTTGAAGCCCATAAAAGCACTCACTTCCTGATAGCCAAGCGCACTGCGCAGGCTCAAACTGAGCTTGACGACGTAGAGGTCACGTGAGCGACCGTTCTGACCTTCTAGTAGCTGTACCGAGACAAATCTGAATTGAAATCTGAAACAAATCTGTTGTTGAAATATTTTGTCCCGTTGCTTTTATGAACTCTCTATCTATGGGCTTCTTCCTTGACTTTATGCCTCCATGTCCACCCGATTGCCTCATAAACAGTAAATGATTGCCTACGAGCTTCTACTTCTGTCTATACGGTAATTTCTCCACTGTGCGACAGAGCGTCCCGTGTTTATGACGCAATCGTTAGCCTATTTTTACAAAAACGGCTTATACGGGACCATAACGTAAGATACAAAGTAACGGAGCCTTTTATCCATTGTCCCGTTTCTTAAGAAATAAATAATGGACAAATTGAGTCTTTGGACGCCTCAGATGTAAAGTTATTCGCTGTCAAAGTGACGCCAAAATGAATGGGAGTCAATGGGATGCTAACAGCAGGTGATAGCCAGCTACAATGGCGGCCCCCGGAGGCAGCTTCAACTTCCGGCTGATGGATTACCCCCTTGGTTCTATGTCTGTTTTGTTTAAATTTTCTCTGTTCTGGTTTCCTGTGCTTATTAGTTTCCGTAGTTACTAATTTACACACCTGTTCTGTTTTCCGTCTGTATATTTAAGCGGGCGTAGGTTTGGTTTTGATATTGGTGGGGACATTCCCAAAGGTTGAGGAATCAGGAAATGAATAGGATTAATAGGATAATATTAAGGTTTTTAGTCTATATTGACCTTAACAATACGTTAATGAATTCTGTAATGTTATGGTAACTATTAAAGACAAGAAGGGAGTTTAACAGAGACTTAGTGCAATACGGTCTTGTTCCTTGCTTTTTGAAGACGCCAAACACATGTATGCATCTGTCATTAAAGGAATAGTTAAGGGATAGTTCACCCAAAAATGAAAATTCTGTCATTTACTCTCCCACAAGTTGTTTCAAACCCTTGTGAATTTCCTTCTACTGAACACAAAGGAAGTTATTTTGAAGAATGTTGGTAACCAGACAGTTGACGGACCCCATTTACTTCCATAGTAAGAAAACAAATACTATGGAAGTCAATGGGGCCTGTCTGGTTACCAACATTCTTCAAAATAACTTCCTTTGTGTTCAGTAGAAGAAAGAAACTGGTTTGAAACAACTTAATGATGACAGAATTTTCATTTTTTTAAGGAAACTATCCCGTTAACAGAAATTAAAGCTGCAGTCGGCAAGTCTGGCAGATTGAGTGGATTTAGGAAAATTTTGAATGTTTACAACTCTCATGCCCCTCCCCTACTATCAACGAATGTACCCTCCCACAGTCCCACCGAGTTCATGCTCGTCAGTGCGTGTGCACCAGATTTTCAGTGAACGCGCCCGTCTCATCAGCATCAATCAACACCATGGATTATTTGGAGGTATGCTGTCCTGGCTAATCTACCGATAGATTGCAATTGCTAACGTCATTTATACTCTAAATGAGCTTACTTGATTTTCCGCCATCACTCTTCGTTACTGCGCGAACTTCCGCAAACTTCAGGCGTGTGCATGTGATTGTAACGTGCGCGAGGGGTGGCGTGTGCCCGATCTGTGATTGACAGTCAGATCTCACTGCGCTGATTGGACATGATGAACCGGGAGCTGTGGATTTTTGCAAAACAAATAACACGCTCTAGGTGGAGTTAGAAGCTCTGGTTTTTTTCTAAAACCACTTTATTTATGTTGTTCTGTCAGATTATAGTGTCGATTTCACTGAATATGATAAAAAAAATGTTGGACATGACACACAGCAACTTGTGCCATTGTTCTGAGCCATGTTTTCAGTGTCCTAAGAGCAATGAAACTTATTTCAGCCTCAGCTGATTAGACTGGGATGACAAGGGTTTCAACTTGATCAAACAGACCTCTCATTTCAACAAGACCAAGCCTTCTACAGACTAAGCAATTTTGGGTTTTCATGTTTAATGTGGACTTTCCATAGTCATAATGATTTTTTTATAACTGTGTATTCTATCCCCCTACACTAACCATATCACAGATAACTTTCTGCATTTTCAGAAAACCTCACTTAGTATGATTTATAAGCTGTTTCCCAAGGAAAAGGATTTCGGAAATTGCCATCTTTGTGGGGACATTTTGTCTTTGTCCCTACAAAAAATGGCAATATACAAAAATCTTGTCCTTGTGGGGATTTTCCTTATAAATCATACTAAATTATGTTTTACTAAGTTTCAGTGCTCTTTGTGCGCACGCACACACTTACAATGCTCTTTGTCCGCACACACACACTTACAATTATGCTTGCCACTTCCCAGCAAGCAATTTTGCGTTTAAAAGACGTCTAATAGCCGTCCAAACACAGCCCTGACGTCTAGGCTAAAACGAGGCAAAATTTGGGCTATCAGTGAAAATTTAATAGACGTCTAACCATAGCCCAAGAATAGAAAGAAAATAAATGAAATCAAACACCTTGTAATCACTGTTGACTTTGCTTACATGATGGAATATAATAAATCTCACAAGTTATTTTGGCAAAAACGATATTCTAAATTCAAGTTTATTTTGGCTAGAAGTGGGTTACTCATAGCCGGACTAATTCGAGTCTATAGTTAATCTAGATGGAGAAATGACGGCTATTGCTTGCTGGGTTATCCCGCGATTGTCATACATTATACTGTAAAAACTGTGCTGTCCCCGAATCATTATTTGATGCGATTTGCCCCGTATTTTTGTGCACAGAACTGTAGATTACTCCCTAGCTTACCGCATCTAGGTTTCCTTCGGAGGAGCTTTGCCGCTTCGCACAACCAAATGTAGCTACAGCCTCTCACAAGTTAGAAAGAAAACATAAAGCCAATCAGTTTAGCGATGTGTGTTAAGCAGGCTGGTTAAATAAAATAAGAAATACATAAAAAACACAAGACCCAACCGGGCAACAGTGGTTATTTTTGATCAAAATTATTGCTAGGGACAAATCAGTGTCACTGGATATTGGTAGGGACACGTCCCTAGCGTCCCTACTAAATTCTACGCCCCTGCTTCAGTTCTTGGTTCGGTCTCGTTTACGTCTTTATGTGGTTGTTATCCTATCATTCCAGAGATCTTCTGCGGGTTCTTGTTGGATTATTATTAAATACTGTTTTTGTTGTTTACTCCTTAGCCATGCGCTGTATTGCAGCCACTTCACCCATCACAATTTCACAATATTCTAGTAATATTCTATAATATTTTTGTTCAAATAAATGCAGCCTTGGTGAGAATAAGAGACTTCTTTCAAAAACACAAAATTCTTGCCGACCCCGTACTTTTGAATGGTATTGTAGCTTTCTGGGATTTGCTCCCATTCAGACACTGAGCATCAGTCCAATCAATCCCAAATGTGTTCATTGTCATGCTAGAACAGAAAAGGCCTTACCTAAACTGTTGCCACAAAGTTGGAAACACAGTTCTCTATAATGGAATTCTACATTGAGATTTGTCTTGAAGGGATAGTTCACCCCAAAATTAAAATTCTGTCATTATTTACTTACCCTCATGTCGTTCCAAACCCTTAAGACTTTTGTTCATCTTTGGAACACAAATGAAGATCTTTTTGATGAAATCTGAGTGATTTTTGTCCCTCCATAGACAGCTACGCAACTTTGACGCTTCAAAAAGTTCATAAAGAGATCGTAAAACTAATCCATATGAATTGAGCAGTTTAGGCCAAATTTTCTGAAGAGACTCGATCGCTTTATATGATGAACAGATTTATTTGAGGCTTTTATTCACATATTCATCAACTCATACATCAGCTGTGGTAAATGGAAGCTCAAGCATGTTCGCTTGACGTGTGAGAAACAATGAGGTTCATTCTCGTGTTACGCTGCACATTTGAGCTTCAGCAAGAGCCAATGAAGTTCAGTCTTGTGTGTTACGCTGCATGTTTGAGCTTCTGCAAGAGCCAATGAGGTTCATTTCCGTGTTACGCAGCACGTTTGAGCTTCTGCATGAGGTTTGTTCTTGCGCGTCAAGCAGGTTCGGTTGAGCTTCTGTTTGTTATGTTATGATCAATGTTTAAATGTGAATAAAAGCCTAAATTCAATCTGTTCGTCATATAAAGTGATCATGTCTCTTCAGAAAATTTGGACTAAACCGCTCAATTCACATGGATTAGTTTTACAATCTCGTTATTAACTTTTTTAAGCGTCAAAATGGTAGTTGTGTAGATGTCAACAGAGGGACTGAAAGCACTCAAAGAGAGCTTAATTTGTTTTCCGAAGATAAACGAAAGTCTTACGAGTTTGAAATATAATGAGGGCGAGTAATTAATGACAGATTTTTCATTTTTGTTTGAACTATCCCTTTAACTGGAATTGAGGAGACTAGCTAAACTAAACTGAAGGGGGTCTCGCATACTTTTGGCCACAAAGTTTTGCCACAAAAACAAAGTATGTGCTTTAGAAAAAGACAAAAGGCAGCATTGCCGTCATTTTGTCCTCTAGCACATTTTGAGCCAAGTTATTGGAAATGCATGTGGCTTCCTGCCCAAGCCTGGTTTCGAAATATGGTCTTTTATGATGACAGTCGTTATCATCTACTGTATTTGCGATAACCGTAATGCTCCGATATGATCTTTTTATGAGAGCATGTGATTTGATTATATAGCGGAAGTATAAAACAAACTGTTGTATAGTGAATATTTAAGTTGGTTTTAAACATTAAAAAAAAACATCTATTTTTCTATTTCATTTTAAGATATTTTTAATTAATATTTTAACTGTGTGCTAACAGAAAAGGTCAATTGATTATATATTAAATCAGCTGACTTTAATTAATTCTCTGTTTATATTTTACCGAATGTACTTTTAGATGTTAATAAGTGTGATTTGTTATTTCCTTTTTCCTTAAGGTGATTCCAGGATAGATGAACAGGAGAAAAACTTACTGAACCAAGTGGGCAGCACCAATGCCTTGCACTCAGTCCATGACAGATTGGCGGTGGAGTTTTACTTTGCCTCTGATGCTAGGTAACATACACCCACATATTACACCGTTGAATCTAGAGCATTAACATAATATTGACATTACGAAGCCTAAAGACTGCAGACGTCCTGTTTAAACAGGTCATACCGGTTGCTAAGTGATATGGTGACAACTTATGATGGCAGTTCAGCAATGCACCCTGCTGACCAAAAAACCTCATTACAAATGTGATTGTGGTAGTAAAAGTAAAGTAAAGGGTGATTTACTTTTATTTTTCTCTGTCAGTGCCATCATTGAGCACACCAACAAGGTGGTTTATCTGGAAGACGATGACGTCGCCGTGGTGGTGGAGGGGAAGTTGTCTGTGCACCGTGTTAAGCGTAAAGTTGGGGAAGACCATGTCCGTCTCATTCAGACCCTACAGGTGGAGCTCCAGCAGATCATGAAAGGTCCCATATCACACTAACACTATCGAAACAATGGTTAAAACGCCCTACCACTGAATAATTCAAAAAATGATTAGTGAATTATAATTGAATAAAGATATAACGCATCAAATACAATAACAAACAGGTGAAAATATGACCATAACTCCGTAAATCTAACACATCTTAACTAGGCATGATGCAACAGATATCTGCATTTACATTTTTGCATTTGGCATTCGCTTTTATCCAAAGTGACTTATGTTTCATACATTTCTATCAGTCCTTGCATTACCTTCTAATCGAACCCACGACTTTGCTGTTGCTGGCGCCATGCTCTACATTTCAGAACATTTTTGGCAGATTGTTTTTTTGTTCATCTAAAAATTAATTTGGTCATTATGTACCAAATAACATAGCAAATGCATTTGCTGTTAGTTTTGCAGAAAAACAAAAAGGAACAGTTTTGGAGGAACTAAATGGGCATATCAGTATCAGTTCTTTAGATCTTTGTCGGCAAGGCCTTTGGTTTGATAACAGTGACTTGAATGCCACGCCGCACTTTGGTTTTGAGCTAACACCGTTTCATACCTTTAGGTAACTTCGAGGCTTTCATGCAGAAGGAGATCTTTGAGCAGCCTGAATCTGTCTTTAACACCATGAGAGGCAGAATCTGCTTTGACAGCAACATAGGTACAACATGACCTTCCACTTTGCCAGAATATCCATGTCAAATGAAATTAGGCTACTTCTTGTAGCACATCCCTGAAAGTGCTGCCTGATTTGATATCGTAGAATTACAGCTAATCTCAAAGGTGAAATGTGTCATTTCTGCACCATTAACAAATGGAAACTATTCCATCAAATGGAAACTACATCAAACGACATTGATTTAGGCCCTGTCCCAAATGGCACACTCCGGACTTGTGGACTTCCTCAGAGTCCACACTTCGGTGACGTCATGTAGTGCAGCCCTATAGGGCCCTTAGCGCGAGTCCGCGAGGGCGCATTGAGAGGTATTTTTGGGACAGACTCGATCGTCACGCCGGAAACAGGAAGACGGTCTGATTGTTGTTATGGACAGGAGTTACAGGTTCGGGGAAATATGCTGCCTATTGTTGTTGTGTTTACATATGACTCAGTAAAGCCCTGGCATTCTGTTCTATTTATTTAATGAATCATAATGCGATCGTATTATTCAGCTCGCTATTATTAGCCTATGTTTGAGACATCAACCACTGGTCGATGATCATAATGTTTGTATAAATTTGTCATAAAAACCATAATGATAATTAGACTTCAATATTTTCTTCTCAGCCATGTTAACAATTGTCCGTGAGCGAAATCTCCTCCCATCCGTTGTCTGATTGGCCTTTTGCAAGGATTCCTGGGTAGTTAAAGTGCGTGGAGCCTGCATCTGTGCGGGCTTCGCGGAAGACCGCTTCAAGGGTACAAAGGGGGCACTGCTGAGCACACTTCAGAGCGTTAAAATGCTAAATAGGACGGCCTACGGACTCGTAGACTCGGCGAGCACGCGCAATTTAAGTCCACGAGACCGAAAGTCCGCATGAAGTGCGCCATTTGGGACAGGGCCTTAGTCAATGTTGCCTAATGGTTACACATTTCCTGGAAATCAGCCTACAAATTTAACTAATAGTTATTTAACAAATAATGCAGCCAGGTGTGTTTGGTTGCAAAGAGTCTTATAACCAGAGAATTTGAGCCTGATTTGCTTTGTGTTTTGGATCAGTTAGCATGTCTATTATTTTTGTGCACAGTTCTTCTTGGTGGACTGTCCGACCATCTAAAGGAGATCAAGAGATGCAGACGCTTGATCATTATTGGCTGTGGAACCAGTTACCATGCGGGAGTAGCAGTGAGTTTTTTTTTTTTTTTGTCTGGAGCATAACAGATAGATATTTTATTGCATTCATATAGGAAAATGATGAAAGAATGAGATTGTTTTTTGTATACTTGCTAATATAGTTATCCATTTTCATTACAAGGCTCTTTGCTTTCATTTCAAAATGCTCTGTCCACACTATCTTTTTCCACAAGTTGATCATCCACACTGAAATATTGTAAACTGTACAAATCGTCTTACTGCACAGTAATAAAAACTCACTGTGATGATACCGAGAGACCAGACACAGTAATAAAGTTATTATGCTATTCTTCTTGCACGATCATTTAATTATCAAAATATCCCCCCACTAACTCTTACAAATCGCTATGCCATGTTTGGTCTAAAACACAGTTGCCCTCATGTTTTGCCACAGGAAAACATTTATGTTTAATATATATTTATTTTTTAACAACACTTTGAAAATAAATAGAAGGACCCTTTTAATTCAGCTCAAAATATCTTACATTTGGTGTCTTTGCCGACCTTTTGGGGGGGAAAAATAATATAACATGATATTTCATCACTCTTGCCACTAGATGGCATTTTAACTCTGGAGCAAATGAGCTGTTCTGCTGGGTCCTAAATTCTGTTTTTCTTCAGTAAGCATTCAGATACACATGTAGACATTATCATTTTTTTGGTAAAGGTTTAGCATTTTTAGTTTTAATTTTGATCATTTTTAAGTTGTTCTATGTGTACTAAAGCATTCCTTGCATTCCATTCATTTCTAAAGGGGGTCAAATTGACTTCAGAGGGAAGGATTTGTTACTTTTTTAAAATTTCAACCACAAAACTCCTCGAATCCAGTCAATTTTTTATTTATTTGTGTTTTTGTTGTTCAAGTGCGAAAAAAGTCCTAGGTTCTTGGACCTCTCCGATGAACACTCAATGTTTTTGAATTCTTTTAAAAAATGAGTTTCGGTTCAAAATGCTGCTGCAAAGAAAATCTATTTATATGAACATTTCCAAGATAATTCATGTGAACATGATTCATTGTTTTAATCAATCGACAGCCATAAAACGTTGTAATAATCTGCATTCTCTTGAGTAATATAGGGGCGCTGAACGCTGTTACCGGAAACTCCCGAGTTGTAATAAGTAGAACGCAAAATGGTTGTGCAAGTAGCCTAGTCCATATGCATCACCTGATTAAACATGCGTTAAACATACGCTTTTATAGTCCATGCTACAATGCATAAAACGTTATTTTCAAATGTATCCATTCCAAAAAAAAAAAAAAATTGTACTGTACATTGATCGTTAAACTTTCTATTTGACTGCTGTCTAATTTCAAATTGAAGGACTTCTTTAAGAGCTTTATGTCAATGACCAGCTGGCTGTCCATTTCCCTTACTTGAGCACATGATCACATCACAGCATTATATCTGATTCTCTCTGCAGACACGTCAGATCCTTGAGGAGTTGACTGAGCTTCCTGTTATGGTCGAGTTGGCCAGCGATTTCCTAGACCGCATCACGCCAGTTTTCAGAGACGATGTCTGTTTTTTCATCAGCCAGTCGGGTAAAGTGCAGCTCTTTACCGTCAATCTCATGATTTATATTCCAGAAAGGGTTGATAATAATTACCTTTGAACTGATATGGCACTGAATTACACAACAGTAAGTGCATGAGGTGATATAATCTCCAGAAACCCAGATGCCCACAGCACAGAAAAAAACAAAGATATCTCAGTTGTTTCTACCAGATGCTAATGAGATTAAATGGAAAGACTCCTACCTCCTTTTCTCTCAAGAAAAAAGAGACCATGACTTTCATAAGAGGTCTCATGATGTCTCAAACTTTGCTCTGATTTGTCAGGATGTCAAAGTCTGTGATCAAAAGTCAGATATTTGAAAATGAGTGCAAACATTTCTGAGAACTCGATTCTCTTCTAAAAGAGCACTCTTGGAGCAGTAAAATATTTTTCTAGCTGTGGCACATTACTAAAACTCATTGAGTATATTGAGCAAAGTAAAATACTATCAATGTTACTGTTATATATTATATTATACTAATGTTGTATAATACTGTTAATGCTGTAGGTTTCATGTTGATGACACTAACACATGCATGGCAATGCTGCTGATAAAGATATTGATGATATGATATGATTTTGGTTAGGTGAAACAGCGGACACTCTGATGGCGCTACGCTACTGTAAGAAGCGCGGGGCACTGACTGTGGGCGTCACCAACACCGTGGGCAGCTCCATCTGCAGAGAGACCGACTGTGGAGTTCACATCAATGCTGGGCCTGAGGTCGGAGTCGCCAGCACTAAGGTACTGAATTAACATCTTAGACTAATAATAAATAAACGATAATATGTAGTATGGAACATACAAATATTATATTATATTATAGTCCAAACTTTAGGGTTGGTCAGATTCTCATACTCACCAAGGCTGCATTTATTTGATCAATAATACAGTAAAACTGTAATATTGTGAGCTATTATTACAATTTAAAATGTGTTTCCTATTTTAATATATTTTAAAATGAATTTTAAGAGTTTAAAATAAATTTTAAATTGTCAGCATCATTACTCCAGTGTTCAGTGTCACATGATCCTTCAGAAATCATTCTAATATGCTGATTTGCTGCTCAAGAAACATTTATTATTATTATCATTTATATTATAATTAGTTTTTTGGGTTTTTTAAGAATAGAAAGTTCAAAAGAACAGCATTTATTTGAAATAGAAATCCTTTGTACCAATTTTAAAGTCTTAAAAGCGTCAATTTAATGCAGTCTTTCTGAATAAAAGTATTAATTTCTTTCAAAACAATTGTACTTACCCCACATTTTTGAACGCTGGTTCAATATTATATTGTTGTTTTTCTCTCCCCTGTCCATTGCTGATGAATCGAGTTTGTGTTTTATTCATCTGCAGGCTTACACCAGTCAGTTTGTGTCTCTGATCATGTTTGGTCTGATGATGAGTGAAGACAGGCTCTCAATGCAGCAGAGAAGACTGGAGATCATCAATGGCCTCAAAAAATTGCCAGGTGTGTGTGTGTGTTCATGTTTTTCTATCCTGGTGGAGACTTCTGTGATGGTAGAGTTAGTGTAAGGAGATAGAATATGCCGTTTGTACAGTATAAAAACCATTACGTTAATGGAGAGTCCCCACAATTATAGTAAACCAGACGTGTGTGTGTCTGTGTGTGTGTGTATTACATAATTGTCGTAATGGTCGGTATATTGCAGTAGTTCATTAGTGCTTTGAGGTAATGTTAACTTTGACATTGTCTTCCATTTAGAGTTGATCAAGGAAGTTCTGGCTCTTGATGACATCATCAAAAGCCTTGCAGATGAGCTCAACCATCAGAAGTCTCTTTTGGTCATGGGTCGAGGCTATAACTATGCCACCTGCCTAGAGGGGGCGCTGGTGAGGACCATGCAATATATAGACAGAGAAAAGGATTATAACCAATCATATAATCAAAAGAGTGGTGAAGTAAAGCACACTTTTTTTGGTCTTTGTTCACTGTAGAAAATTAAAGAGATCACGTACATGCACTCAGAGGGCATTATGGCTGGAGAGTTGAAGCACGGCCCTTTGGCGTTGATCGACAAGCATATGCCAGTCATCATGATCATTATGAAAGATGCCTGCTACCAAAAGTGCCACAATGCCTTGCAGCAAGTCACGGCTAGACAGGTAACAATCATCAGACTCTAGATCATGTGAAATCATAGAGATAATGATATATATAGAGAGAGATAATGTGATTAAACAGTTCACCAGTAATATATGCTACTGTTTAAAAGTTTGGGGTCGATAGGATTTTTCTTTTTTTTTAAGATGTCTCTTATGCTCACCAAGTCTGCATTTATTTGATCAAAAATACAATAATAACAGTAATATTGTGAAATTGTATTACAAATAAAATAACCTTTTTCTATTTGAATATATTTTCAAATGTAATTTATTCCTGTGATGGCAAAGCTGAATTTTCATATTCATTACTCCAGTCTTCAGTGTCACATGATCCTTCAGAAATCATTCTAATGTTCTGATTTGGTGCATATTATTATCAATGTTATGAACAGTTAATATTTTTGTAGAAAACCTTATACTTTTTTTTTTCAACATTATTTGATAAACAGAAAGTTCAAAATAACAGCTTTTATTTGCATACTTTTGATCAAATCCTTGCTGAATAAAAATATTAATTAAAATAAAATCTTACTGACCCCAAAATTTTGAACGGTAGTGTACATCTACAGATTCTGAAATATCACCAATCATCCGACACTTAGTGATGACTAATATCTTGTGAATATCTTTTAGGGCCGCCCCATCATCATATGCTGCCAGGACGACCCAGAGATCAGTAAAATGGCATATAAGACTATTGAACTTCCTCAGACGGTGGACTGTCTGCAGGGCATCCTCAGTGTCATTCCACTGCAGCTCATGTCTTTCCATCTGGCAGTTCTCAGAGGATATGATGTACGTTTACATTATTCATTTAGTAAATGTTTTATCAAAAAAAGGCGGCATCCCACTAACTGTCTCGATTTTGGAAAGAGTATCTTGCTTACTGATTTCCTCTGTTGTAAGTCGCTTTTGATAAAAGCGTATGCTATATTTCCATGTGATGTGACATGTTAGACTCTTAACAAAACTATTAAAGGGGTAATTCACTGCTGGCAAGATGGACTTTTAATAAAACATGGATGTCTATGCAGTAGAAAGTTGTTTTTTTTTTTTATAAATTGGTGCTACATGACTAGAGAAAACAGAGAAAAGGGGCTACAAAAATGCGCAAGTAAAATCTGTAGTTTTCACAAACAGCTGGAGCTGTCAAAAGACCACTGGATGACGTGAAACACGCATGCACTTTTTCAAAATATTTGTATTTTTACAAAATTTAATACACATTCATAACGCTATACTGCGTGTTATAATACTGTGGCAGTAAATTACAAAAATGAATTAATGCTGCTGCGAGGGTGTCTCTAATACAACGGCTGAGGGAGTGACGGCGAATTTGACATCTTTCTCTCTTCTGACTGCTGTAATCAATCTCACGACATTTTCCCCTCTTTCGGAAAGTCGTGGAAACGCTTATTTTGTTATTAGAGCAAATACAAAATTATATTTGCTGTCATCTCCCTTTCACCGCTATAGACGTTTACCCAACTATGACGACTTCTGCTTCTGAGAACCCCGGAAATGTGAAAAGGGTTTATACAGAGCTAACATACCTTTTAAATATAACGATTAGCTATAAAAATATATATATAATATGAATAATAATTTTGAAGTAGAATATTGTATTTATTTTATAATTATTATAATTTTCAATATTTTATTATAGTATTCTAACAATTTTTTCAAATTAATTTGTCACTTCGCAGTACTATTTACACTTAACTATTGAAGGAAAATGGATGAATCATTTTTGTGTATTTTTATCACATATTATTATTTGTTTGGTTCCCATCAGGTGGACTGCCCAAGGAACCTGGCCAAATCTGTGACAGTGGAGTAGCTCCTCACAGGAAATGTGAACTAATCAAGGTAGAAGAGGAGAATACTGACCACCCAAGTGCAATTACCATTGTGTGTGTTTATGTGTGTTTGCAACTGTGTGAATGTGGAAGTGTGGGTATTTATAAATTATGATCAATTCCCTAAAGGCCACAAGACCTGAATGGATGCGGTGAGGGGGTGGGTGGGGGGGGGGATATTTTATTCTAGTGAGATAGTGAGACATAGTAACTTTTGCTACATAAGTGCCTCAGCATCCAAGTGCAAATGAAGGGAACCCCTAAACTGTGCCTTACACCCTTTTCTCTCAGCTCTTAGCTGAGCCTGAAGGATCACAACTGTCTAATGTTTACCTCTGACCGGGGGCGGTTCTAGGATTTCATCCTCAGGGGGGTTAAAGCCCTCGGTGAGAATCTGTAGCAAGAGACCATTGCCTAAGTGGTGCATCTTTTAATCTTATTACCGTACTATATAGTAAGTCAGAAGTAGCCTACCGGTACTTAGATTGGTACTAAGTCAATACAAAATGTTTTCAATGATCTTATGATACCTGTCTTTTTGCTGTACAGTTCAAATCAGTACACTGTAAATGGTTAGTCAAACAGTAATTAGATATTTATTTGCCCTGCCAAAACATTTACTTGCCTAAATAAATAAATCAAGTAAACGTATGAAACGGGACTTAAGCGAAATTTCACAATTCTCGATTGCAAAAAATAATACTAGCCTAACTAATATAAAGTTCAAACATTAAAGACAAGTAAACAGTCAATAATAAAATAAGACAGAATAAACAATTAACAAATAAACAAAGATACAAATGAAACCATTTACAGTAGGCCTACTTGTGAAAACTGTATTACTGTATGAAGTAAATATACAGAAGTGATTTAGTTGAGAGCAGCGAGACCTTCTGTTTTAATAATGTTAATCGAACAACAAAAGAAAAACAGATTATCAAAGATTCTGCTTTCACTTTAACGCCTAATGATGCCACCTTATATTGACACATCCGATATTTTGAATGAATAAATGTCTTTATTGTCATTTGTACAAGTACAACGAAATTGAAATGCAATCCTTTGGGTGCATAATCTGATCAAATAAATCTAAATGAAATAAAAAATCGAATAAATAATAAATAACACACCATGCCACACACACATTCAGCAGTTTAAGTTATTGCAGTATTTATAACAGATGTGGCTTTGGCATAGAAACTGTTAATCTCACATTCAGCAGACAGTTGCACACGACTCATATTCAACTTTGCATATGATGTTCAGTTTAAGTTATTTCTTAATTGTTTACGTTTACTTAAGACTATGTTTATGTGGATACTCGTCAAAATGGGCATTTTGACTTAATGTTGTGTGTATTTGCTCAAGAAGATGCAAAAGATAACTCAATTTGGTACCGCACCGATTTCTGTTTTGCAGCATCTTGCGCTAGAATGGCTTAAAATCACTTGAATGTTTAAACTGACAAGACTTAACACGTGGAAATGATCAACTTTCTAGAGGAAGCACCACTGACCCTATCATTCAGATAGATAGGTTGGCTGAAGCCTCCCTAAAAAGGGCCTAGAACCGCCCCTGCCTCTGACAAACCAAAGTGCAATACCTTAATCTGCACAATTAATCTGTGTGTTTAAGAAATGTGCCACCAATCGCAGGAACCAAAGATCTTAGCTATGTCGATTGGGTAAGGAAGTGATGCGTAGATGTGGAAGTGCCTGAATGTGCAAGCCAAGTGAATTGTTTTTAAATTAAGTATCATTTTCAATACTAGGAAACACTATTTGTCATTATTGTTATTACATTGCACACATTTGTCTGTACTACAGAAAATTATGTCAACTATTCAGATGGAGCAAACAAGTGTTAATCACATGAACTGACATACAGCATTCAATGGCTTTAGAGAAAAAAAAATCATATAAATAACTGGGTTCCACTGGAAGATTTACTGTACTGTTTGAGTTTACTTTGACTGTGAAGCACTCATTGTGGGAACAATCATTGTGTAATTAGACATTTTATGTTTTGTTTTATTCTGAATGATTTTAGTGATTTTTATGTGATCTATATACTGTATGTTGTGCCGAAATGAGATTTCAAACCCTCAGTGTAACTTTTTTTTTTTCTTTTACAGCCTTTGCTGGGACAAAATCCTTTTGTGATTGTCCCTGTCAAGTTTTAAACATTTATGCTTTAAACATAATTTCCCTGGTATACATAGTTGTCATATACGTCTATTTTAAATCCGTTTTATATTTTTAAAGTTATGGGTTGAGGGTTGTAACATGAAGAGCAGCTGTGACAAAAAGGGCTTTATAATACAATGATCGCTAATAATGAAATAAATCAAATGAAGTACAACCAGCAACAGTGTCAGTTACTTCAATCATTCCGTGGGATTTTATTGTCTTTTGTTTATTTATTTACTCATTCATTTTCCTACAGATACACTTTTGGAAGTAAAGGTTCAGTGGAGGTCTATATAAAACCCTAGGGTTCTTGACTCAATTTTAAAGAGGAGAAATGTCTTAAATGATTGCATAATACTTGTTTAACAGGTTATTTCAATTTTTTGTCTAGTGATAAAGTATGTTTACGAACTATTTAATTCATAAAATTGAATTACAATTAAACTAATTAAAACAAAATGTATTAAATAAAACCAAATCTATAAAATGATCCCATGATGGGAACCCATAAAAGGTTCTATGGTATGAGGTGCCTGAAAGAACCCTTTAAGGTTTTATATAGAACCTCTTCTTCTAGTGTAGTAATTTTATGATCTTGGGCATATAGACCTGCAGGATGCCTGAAAGATTAAAAAAAATTAAATGGAATAAATGTAATGGAATAACTGTCTAACAGTTCTATAATGTTATACAAAAAGTTATACAGTCACTTAACGTTACAGAAACATAATCGGCTGTTTGTCCATTTTAAATTGGCTTTAATGCATGGCTTTTCTGCGATCATGTTTCTCTAGTCTGCTTAAGCCCGTCTCTAGAGTGAAGTGTGCACTGGCTTTATCTTCCTTCCAAACCAGCTCAACGTCATACTGCCATCTGCTTGTTAAAATGAGCTCAGCTGTTTCTTTCTGGAGTTTTAGTTGAAGGACTGCTATTTGGCAATGTGTTCAATTTGGCAGTTTGGAGCAGTTAGTCAATTATTCAATTAGTTAATTAACTGAAATGAATTTGTATAGTTCTAGATCCCAGAATAAATATAGCTAGTTTATATAGTATATTCATTTTGTATACAGTCTTGTATTTATAATAAAAAGAACAATGTCCTGATGAACAATAATAATACAGAATAATTACCCTTTAAAACATTCCAGTCTAACTTGGCACACAACTTATCAAACGTCTTACCAGTTGTGGGATTTTTAACTTCTCTGTAAATCTCCAGTCATCTCTCATCTTTGTGAGACATACTGTACCAAGTTTTACTGTACCTTTTATACCCAAACACGATCCCCTCACCTATTACCAGTTCACCTGCTAATTGTGGACTGTTTCAACAGTTTAACTACGATATTCTAGAGTCTTTTCACATTTATTTTGGCTCTGTCCCAACTTTTTTGGAGTGTGTTGCAGCCATCAAAATCAAACTGTTTATATTTACAAAATACAATTAATTTGGCCAGTGAAAACATTGGAATTGTTTTCTTTGTACTTTTGTCAGTTAAATAAAAGTTACAGAGAATCAACAAAACACAGACTCTTGATTTTATTGTATTTTACAAAATCTCCCAACTTTTCTGGATACATGGACATTTCTCTGAGTTATCATGGTTTCAGTTATGATTCAAGAGTACTTTGAAGAGCTCAGTCTATTTAAAAGGATTGTAACCACCAGAGGAAAACCACATCATTGGGGATGGTGGTTAAGCTCCTCAGTCTCCCTTATCACTCAGCACAGAGAGCCACTTACAAATCCAATTCAACAGTGTGTTCATTATCGTCACTCAGAAGGTCAACGAGCATAGAAAGGTCATTTGGCATTATAGCGGCGTTCCCTCTTTTAAAGCGTAAATCCATGCTTCTCAGTCGAGGTCATTGCTTGTTGAAGTCAATATCTGCATCACAAACCGGGATGTTATGGACTCAAAGGAAACACAACAAAACCCAGACGACAATAATGACCTGGGATGTTAAGAATGTATCTCTGACACCATCAATATAAAAATGTTTACAAAATAAAAGTTATTACGTAGCCTACTTTAAATTTAATGATTAATATTCTTAATTTAAAATAGTATTTTGAGCACTATACTTACTGAATACATTAAATCAATTTAAAATGAACTTTCATTGTTAATTGAAATTAATTCATTTAAATGTATGTCAATTGTTCGTTCTAAATAAGGCATTTTTAGACTTTTTTTCTGCAATCTTTTCTGACGGAGGCCCAGGATTTCTCTGTTCCCATTGCATTCCGTCATGTCTTTTTCAGTTTCCACTGGGATTGAGTCAGAACTGTTCCTCTGATGAGACAATTAGGGTGGGGGACCGGATGGATGGACCCCCAACTATTAGCTCATTCATGAAGTTGTACCTCTTCCATGATGAAATACCAAGACCAGTGGGTTCACTTGACTCAATCTCAACCTCAGTGGGTGGCTTCCTTATCTCAAAACTGATTCTTACTCATATGATCTTAAGACTTTACATCAAGCCAAAACAAATAACAGACATACCCCAGTGTTGCACAATCTATGCAATTGCAAGAGATATATACACATACTGTAAGGGTTTAGCAACTAGTTCATTTCCATCCATCTTCTTTAGATGACATCTAACGTTCTTATCAATCCAGCAGTAATAAACATTAGATGACAGTTGTCAACCTTTTCCTGGTGTATCAGTGCAATCCTATTCAGTAAAGTGTTGTTTTTTGTAAATAAATAATTGCATAAACGTTATAAAGCACTTTCCACAAACAAGGCCTGTCAATGAATAGAGCTTCAGCAAATGATTGCCAACCTCAGGAGGTCAAATTAAATTTTATATTATATAACATATGATCCTACAAGTCTGATTAAACCATCAAAATATGAGTGGATAAGTATATGTGTGTGTTTTGTTCTTCCCTCATATATATACACTCACCTAAAGGATTATTAGGAACACCATACTAATACTGTGTTTGACCCCCTTTCGCCTTCAGAACTTCCTTAATTCTACGTGGCATTGATTCAACAAGGTGCTGAAAGCATTCTTTAGAAATGTTGGCCCATATTGATAGGATAGCATCTTGCAGTTGATGGAGATTTGTGGGATGCACATCCAGGGCACGAAGCTCCCGTTCCACCACATCCCAAAGATGCTCTATTGGGTTGAGATCTGGTGACTGTGGGGGCCATTTTTGTACAGTGAACTCATTGTCATGTTCAAGAAACCAATTTGAAATGATTCGAGCTTTGTGACATGGTGCATTATTCTGCTGGAAGTAGCCATCAGAGGATGGGTACATGGTGGCCATAAAGGGATGGACATGGTCAAAAACAATGCTCAGGTAGGCGGTGGCATTTAAACGATGCCCAATTGGCACTAAGGGGCTTAAAGTGTGCCAAGAAAACATCCCCCACACCAGGGGCGTCACTAGGCCCTTTTTAGGGGGGCTTCAGCCCCCCTAAACTTCTGCCTAGCCCCCCTAAAA